ACTTGACGAATCGCTCCTTTACGAAGAAGTTGATGTATTTCGTTGAGCAGAACATGAAGTGGACCGGATCGGACTCGACGGAGGAACGATGTTGAATTTTGTTCGATAGACGTATTGAACGATGGACAATACCCACCGATCAGATGTGATGGACTCCCAAATGGGGAGTCGGCTTCGAAGCCGATCCCCAGATGAGAGGGGGGTGGGTATTGGTAGAGCGTGAGGAATGGTTCGCCAGTCCTGTCAACGTTGCCTCCGATCATCGAAACAATGGCGGCCTTGTTGGAAGCGTTGTTGGGGCTGAGGACGGCGGTGCTGCTGTTGCTGACAGTGTTGTGGCTGCTGCCTCAGTTGATATGATTGCCTGTAGGATGGACGATTCCAGGACCACTTACGTCTGGCGTGGGACTGTATCTCCATCCTGCGTGCCGTCATCCTCGATTCATGCAGCTTCTTGAGCTTGTGGTCGGTGCGAGAATGGAAAAGCCCGGATCCATCGAAAGGCATTTCCTCGATCCGGCGCTTGGTTTCTTCCGGAAAATTACAATTCCGAAGCCATGCATGCCTTCGGAGAGAAACGGCACCGACCAAGGCTCATGAGTCAGTATCCACATGGTGCCTTGCCATGGATAACTGCTGCACCGCGACCTGCATGGCTTCCTTAATCAGGACCTTTGCGAGGTCACCCTGGTGGTCCGGGAGGGTGGAGGCGACATTGTGCAGGCGCTGCATAATAAAGTATTGATACCTCGCCAACGTCGCCTCGTAATTTGATATATGGAGCCCCAGGCCTGAAGCAGCGTAGACTCGCCTAGACAGGGAGTCTATTTTTCGGCCCTCTTTATCCCTCGGTGCCATGTGCCCTCGCACCTCTCTGCCCTGCAAGGATTCGACGACCGCAGAGTTCGGTTTGCGATGTTGGAGGAGGAAGAGGATGTCCTCCTCCCGAACCCTGTACATCGACTCATATCTCCTGGACGTCGGCTGAGGATGTGATGGCAAGTCCCAGGGCTGCGTCATCGCCTGCTGCAAGGTGGTTATGAGTGGCAAGATGATGGATGTCGATTGCTCCCTGCGGACGACATCGTAGAACTTGTCCGTCGTCAGTTCTGGGCGCTGGGCAGCATCGATGTCCAGGGACTGGACAAGTCTAGACATCAGCTCCACGAAGGAGACGTGGGACTCATCAGGCGACGCAGGACCCTGGGATGTCACAGCGACGTCCGGAGAGGTTGAGTCGACCTCCGAGTCAGCCGAATTAGCACCGTAGTAGGGTGGGGCCGAAGATGATGACTCCGCCGGGGAGAAGGAGAGGCTGCTTCCCCACTGTGGGGATCAAGGTGATGCCCGCCTTGGATCCAATGAGCACAGTTGGTCACGGGATGGAGGAGAGGATCGTGCCCTGGGAGCAGGGTAGTACCCTACGGAGAGCGGATCACCCCAAGTATGGTAGTAGGGGCGACGCCAGCTCTCCAGACGTTGCTCTACAGAGTGGCTCCTCCGGCTCCCCAGTAGGGACAGTCCAACGTCCGCTTCCATTGTGACCGTGGGCATGGGTGTCGGTGACCTCGCCCTAGGAAGGGAGTCCTGGATTTCCCCGTCGGACATTGAACCACGTAGAGTTGGAAGGGGTGCAGGCGGGAGGTCAACCACACGGCGGGGAGACCCTTGAGGGGTAACCCGCATAGCCTCCTGGAGGACCGGTTCGGGCGGAGTCGGTACTGTAAGCGCCACCGGTACTGAGGGGCCCATCGGATCTGAGTCCCGATGTCGGGGATGGTCCGGACGGTCCGAATTCCTGGGTTTCTTGGGAGGCTTGGAGACCTTCTTCTTCCTGGCATTTTTATGGCCTGCCAACTTCTCGGATTTGGCATGCTTCCGCTTTCCATGCTTCTTTTTAGGTGAAGCAGAGGGAGCCACCGAGGCAGACGCACCTTCATCTGAAGGCCGTGAGGGTGGGGCCACAGAAGCAGAGCCAGGTTTTGGGACGGCAACAAGCGGAGTCTCCGGAGGCAGTTTTCGCGGTTCTTCCTGGCCCGCTTGGAGAAGGCCAGGCAATGCGCGCATTTATCCGTCCTATGCCCCTCTCCCAGGCAGAGGAGGCATAGGTCATGCGGGTCAGTTGGTGCCATTTTTGACCCGCAGTCCGCACATTTGCAGAAAGCCGCTCACTGCGCCATCGCAGAAGTAGAAGAGACGGATAGTGCAGAGGGTAAGTGTGTGTGTGTGTGTGTGTGTGTGTGTGTGTGTGTGTGTGTTTAGATAGATAGATAGATAGATAGATAGATAGATAGATAGATAGATAGATCGAAAGTAGAAATAACAAGAGAAAAACTACGAGGAACAATGAACTGGGTTTTTATTTGCAACGAGAAGGAAACACTGGGAAAGAAGGACAATCAAGAGCAAGGTAACAGCTCTAAGCAAAAGTCGAAAGCAGCACGAGGCACAGCGAACGGCGGTCGCAAAGACTGAACAAAATGGCAGACGCTCCGCTCTTTATAGGCCACAGGGGGAGGGGGAGCGGAGCTTCCTGCCAAAAACCGTTAGCTGTCAGTCTTCCGGCCACAAGCACTGCGCAGGTGCAGTACCCATATGTGTGACTGCACAGATGGCCACTCGAAGAACATCAGTTACAGGTAAGCAACCTGCTTTTTTTTTTTTTTAGCCGAGAATGCACTGGGGGGGGTGTTATTTATTGTATAATTTTAGTATTTATTTATTTTATTACTTCTGTATGTATTTATGTGTTGTGAGCCGCCCCGAGGCTTTGTTGCGATGGGGCGGCATAGAAATATTTTAAGTAAGTAAGTAAGTAAGTAAGTAAGTAAGTAAGTAAGTAAGTAAGTAAGAAAGAAAGAAAGAAAGAAAGAAAGAAAGAAAGAAAGAAAGAAAAGGGTGTGGAAATGGGTGTGCTCATTTCTGGCTTAAGTTCTTGCTGAGCCGGTGGCCTCAGTGATAGATGGGCAGATGAGAGGGCGGTAATAGGAAGTTGCCATCCCTTTTCTCCTTATTCTTGATGAGCCTTTAGTTCAGCCTTTCCCAGTCTGGTCCCCTCCAGATGTTTGAACCTCTATTCACATTTGCCCCATCCAGTATGTCCAAAAACAACAAAAAAGAGTTGTTTTTCAAAATGTCTGGAGGGCACCAAGTTGGGGAGAGCTGCTTTAGGGGTTGCTTGTGTTTCTGAAAGCCAAGTGCTAATTACATTTTTAATTGTTCAGCATGTGTACTTCACTGCATTATAGTGATTTTATGTGTGCTCAACATTTTGTCTATGAAAACAATATTTCTAGTTAATAATTGGGCAGAATGCAGTAGCATTCATTAATGTAGGGTTTATCATTGCAGAATGTTATCAACTCACTGTTTCATTTTTCAAAATTCACGAATGGACAGTGTGATGCATAGCTTACACCCTGAGAGCTAGGAATGCAGTTTGGGACAGATATGACAAAACATAAAATATAATGCCAGCTATTTCAGTTTTCCAGAGACGTTGCTGTTTTCCAGCTGTTTAACCTTGAGATGTAAAATGATAATCTGACATAGACTAGCAACACAGTGTGATGTGAGCATCTGCGTAAAAGGCTGTATATATGGAGCATGCCCAGTGATGTGAAAAGCCTCTTACCCCACCCCCAACAGACACCCGAGCTCTGAAGAGATGAAATGAACTTTGCACTTGCAAATGTTACATTTTGCACAGGATTTGTGAAAGGTTCTTTTTTAAGCACTGTCTTTAATCATTAAAAACTAAAAACGAAGGCAGTTTTAAAAATACGAGCTACAAAGACAGGGTGAGCGTGTGTGTGTGTGTGTGTGTGTGTGTGTGTATGCTGATGATTACATCAGTGTAGCATCTTTTACAATGTACTTGGTCTGCAGTCCCCCCCCATATGAAACATCTATGCTTTTTGGTGCCATGGGAAAATTAAGAATTACACTAAAACAGAAAAACTGAGCAAAGCTGAGGAAAGAGCTTGCAGTAGAGCATGGATAGGCAAAGAGCAGTGATTCTGCAGTGTTCGGTGTGCACATGTTTTATGAGAATCAGTGCAGGGCTCTGCAGCTGCAGACCATAACTAAGCTGTCTGGCTAATGAAGGCCACCTGGATCAGGCTTCTGAAAAGAGCCAAAGGAGGACGGTTGAAGAATTCTGATATCTGTGTAAGCTTTAAATTTCAATTTGCTGGCATATTTTGCTTTTCAGGTCGGGTGGTGGAAGGATGGATTGCATTCGTTCTGTTTGAATTAGCAGGTTTTCATTCTTTTGATTGCAATGGGGGGATGGGGGAGGGAATCAAAGATGTATGTTGTTTACACAGTTATTCTGGCATTGTGACCAGCGGTTGGACATGTGCTTGACTCCAGACATGTTTTGTCAGCTGCTATATGATTTGTGGTCATTTCTGTGTTTTGCTGAAGGGCTGAGATAGATTTGAGCCTTGTTCTTTTTTTCTGATGGGGAAAGAGTGTGTGTCAGGTGAAGAGGTGCTCTGCAGTGAAGAAGGAATTTGCAGTTTAATGCTAAGGCTCTATCCTCATCCAGAGTAAGGATTGTTTTTACCAACTCTGCATTTTTAGTCTGAATGTTGCTTTTAGTGAGACTTAAATGACCTTATTTGTGGTTTTGCTTATCTAAAGCTATCCTTGAAACAGCTGCATGTCCTTCAGCCCTGCACTGCACCATTGGTGTTACTTCACAGAAACTAGCCCTGCTTAGCAAAAGAAATATCCTGATCAGAATGAGGATACAACAAGCATAGAACACTAGTTGTCAGAATGGCTTCAGGATCAAAGCAATGCATATGCTCATTATTTTTCTCATTGATACTGTTGGGAATAATAGGGTTCGTTTGTTTTTGATTTAACAAGGATTTATATCAAAGGTGCTGAACAGGAAAATAAAGGAAGCTTTCTGAGCTTATATGATGAATGCATTAAAAAGCAACAAATCATTTTCTTTATTTCTAATATTGTATCTTCCTCTTGTCCAGGGTTCGGCGGACTCCTACACCAGCCGTCCGTCAGATTCAGATGTATCTCTTGAGGAAGACAGAGAGGCAGTGCGGAGAGAAGCAGAGCGACAGGCCCAGACACAGCTGGAAAAGGCAAAGGTAAGATGCTTTCTTACAGTCTTGAGTGATGGAAATGTTGTTTCTAGTAGAACCTGCTGTCTGCTGAAGTTTCAGCAATGTATTTTCTTTTGTATGAGAAAGATATGCTCAAAACTGTTTACACTGTTTTACTCTGACTCTTACAAAATGTTTATTAAATAAGTAACAAGGAATGTAGTTTGAGTTTTCTTAAGAATTTTTAAGGACTATTTGGATATTGCATATTCAAAACATACATTTTTTCGTAAAATATATAGAGCTGCTGCAGAATCATTTATTATATTGAACAACTTAAGTCTCCACAGTTAAAATTTCTAGTATTGTAAGTTGATTTTATCTTATAAGTATCACTGCACAGTGCCAAAGACATATTTGATAATATTTTAGAGTGATATTATTCAAAAAATTTACATCTCCTGATTCATGCTGATCCTGTAAATTCACTCATTCCCTCTATATATTTTTGTATAATATTTCCAATGTAATTTTGATTCTTTATCATTTATCTATGGCTTTATCTTCCATATTAAGAACATTAGTTAGCATCCTTCTTACCTGGCTCTATTTCTTAAAATAACCGTTTCTCCAATGCATTCTATGTATTCTTTTATTTTATTTCTTCTTTCTTTTCTATATGCATATAGTTTTATATTGAAACTGCATTTCCTGCCTCATTTCAGAAATTGTACCATGGCTTACATTTTTGTGTTGCTTTAAGATATATAGCAACAGCAACACAAAAATGTTTAATAGAAACAATTATATATTCAAAACAGCATATAACTAAACAATCTAAAGGGTTCTACTAACAATGAGAACTCCTAAAAAATCCTTAAAGAGAAGACTTAGCAACCTTTTTTCTTGAACAGTGTGTGTGCACTTAGGTATGTTTGTCTACCCTTAACTTTTCCTTCTTTCAGATGTATATTTTTCAGTTTTAGTAAATTGATGGAAGTTATGGGCTAGAGGATACTTATTGGTCTGGTAATAAATGAAGTTTACTTGGGCCAATCTTTGGCAAAGTTCCCAGATTCACTTTTTAAAACTAAGATACAATGGAGCAATGGTAACATTTCTGAAATGAGATTTGTTCATGCCTTGTGACATTCTTGAGTGGTGAGCCATTTTTGATGACTTTGTTTCCTGGTGATAACTAACTTCTTGAAGACCTATAGATACTGACAGTACCAAAAAGTTGCTAGATGATGATTAGGCCTGTATCTACTTGTTGAATAGGCCTATATCTACCCTGACTGACTAAAATTGCCAGAAGGGGTCTGGCTGCATGAGTAATTAAGATCATAAATGTCTCTTAGAGGACTGCTGTGTTCCGAATAAAAGAAGGCAGTAGTGAGACTTTTACTTAAAACAGCAACCGTAATTATTATCTGGTCTCAGGCATACATTTTTTGGGTAAGGTGTCAAGAGTAAATGGCTATTTAGCTTCAGGCATTCTTGGAGGAAACTTATGCTTGAGATCCTTTTCAGTCTGAATTCAGCCTTTGTTTTGGGACTGAAACAGACCTGGCTGTCATGATACATAATCTTTGCTGGTAGCAAGACGGGGGACATAGAGCCTGGTTGGTTCTGCCTGAACTCTCAGTGGCATTCAAGAATATTGAGCATAGTTTCCTTTTGGGATGTCTGACTCATACAGACCTAGGATTATGTTCTGGTGGTATTCCCAAAAGATAGTGCTGCTGGATTATGGCTCTGTTCCTTGTCCATTGGCTTATATGGTGGTTCTTCTCATGCTGTTGAATATCTACCTAAAACTTTTGAGAGATGTCATGCAGGGTCTTGAGATTTGGTGTCAATAATATGCTGACAACACTGTTTTGCTTTGTCTAAATGATGTCAAGCAGTAAAAGTCCCGAATCAGTATTTAAGTAATTATAGATTTGCTATCAGCTAATAAGATGAGAATATAGAAAAGAATGAAATACTCTTGGTAAATAGACATACTGATCTGCAAATGGAAATGCGGCCCATAGGAATTTACTCCATTTTAAATAAAGGTTTGCAGTGTTGTTCCAGTTAGTTTTGTTGCTTAGGAGTGCTTTTGCCCACCTTTGTTTGGTATGCCAGCTGTTTTCCTTAATAGAGGTGAGTCAGGACACAGTTACATACTCATATCCAGATTAGATTATTGTAGTACCCTTTATGAGGAGCTAACCTTGAGGGTTGTCTAAAAAATGCATCTAGTACAAAATGACCGGAACGGTTTCTGATGCTTGCTATTTGAATTGCATTATACCCATTTCTATCAGCACAGGTGATGAGTATTATCTTAAAAGCCTGAAAGGGTTAGTTTCTGAAGGGCTGCTGCCTCTTGCATAGGCCTGCCTTTCGGTTGCAGTCATCCTTAGATGCCCTGCTTTGTGTTCTGCCATCTAGGGAAGCACACTTGGTGGTGACACAAAACAGAGCTTTTATGTGGTGCAGCCTGTTGCAGAACCCTCTCCTGGAGGACATGTGACTGGCCCTGCCTTTGATAGCTTTTAGGTGGGCAGACAAGGCATTTAATTCTACCAAGATTTTAATACTTTTTGAATAGTTTATTAATCTGTTTCTGTTGATGCTTTTTTCCTTTTCTTTTTTAGTGTCTTATCATTTTATAGTTCACAGTTAATTGTAGTATGATATACAGTTGTATCTGTAAAGCATGCTGGAGGTTGTTTTGAGAGCAAGAGATTGTATATATCTATCTATATCTGATTCAGTTAGCTCAGCAGTCCTCATCTCTTTTTAAGGTTTCCTGCTGTAGTTGTTCTGTTAGTGTTCTGCTCTTGCTTTATTTCTAAGACTTGGTGGTAAAATGCTGCCAAACAGCTCTACACAGTAACACAGTTGGAGTCAGGAGCTCTTCCATCTTCTCATCATGACCATCCTGAGATGTAACTAAGGCATCTGAGTTGGCAAAAATTAATAAATATACACATGTATGTCTCTTTTCCCTTTTTGTTTGATTAGCAACAATTGTAGAAAAGAGAACACATTTTATTAAAGCTATCAGTAAAATTAAATGTCCAAAGAAAAGATTTCAGATAGATTTTTATGTAAATTCATACTGAGTAGCATCATAGCTCTTATTGCTAAGCTGATACATCTCTTACTGATGAGTAAATCTTTGTGATTGTTGCTATGGGAATTTGGCTTAGCAGTGCAGGCTTGAGTCCATGGACTGCCCTTATGTAATATTCATGACCTCTAGCAAAGCTGCCATAGGAGTTTACAGAGGAACTGGCAGCAGACCATGACTTTTTAAAACTGTATTTCCTTGCATCAAAACCGTGTTCTCACTTCAACTAGTTGAAGAATAAACTCCAAGCCTGACTGTGAGACAACTTGTAAACAGCAGAAGTAGGAGGTCATTGGCAATCTCAAGCTGTTACAACAACGGTGTTTCAATACTACATAAATGTTAATAATTTAAATCATTTGTGTATTAATGAAAACAATAGCTGAGGACCAGGAAATCCATGTATTTTAACTAAGTCAACCAAAAATTAAATGTTTTGGCTGAGAACACTTGACAATTCTTTGACATTTTGAAATTTTCTTAAACAGACATGGGAAAAATGAATAGAAAGCACCATGAACCATATGCAATCATATTGTTCTTTCTCTTTACAAAAGACTTAATTGCTTTCACAGCTATGTATGAAAATAATGCCTTTAGGTTAGCACTTTTACAGAGAAACATGTGCCAGTTTTACCTTTTTATTTTGATTTCAGTGATGCATACCTATCCTAGTTTATGCTACATTCTGCATATTTCTTTTGAATGTTTTCCCTCCATCTTTTTTCACAATATATGCTGTCTGCCATGATCAAAATACTGCTGCTGATTATTATTTTTATAACGTTTTAAATGAAATTAGTGATATGCATTAATGTGATGGCAATTTTTTGTTCATAGAAATGTAGAAAATGTTGGCATATAGAAATAATAGAAAGTCAGAAAAGAGATAATTGAAACTTTCAGAGCACAATTAAAAATGTTTGCAGCAGTTAATTTATGCCATGGATTACATATTCATTTTCTTTGCTAACCTGAAGAGCAAAACTCCCCCAGATTATAGATAGAGATGGACATGGTTGAATTAATGTAAAGGAAAGAGATGCATATTTTGGGACCTCTCTTGACACTGACTTCCCTCATTTCAGCTTCTAGTTGAAAGATTAAATTGTAAAACCTGGATAACTCCTATTTAATTGCTATTTAATTGCTAGAGAGATTACCTGAAACTTGAATTTAACTACCAATCTGTATGGGACACCAACTTCCATGTTATCTTTCCCTTATGTTCATGTCACTTTCCCTGGACTTTTTGTTTGTTTTAAATAAAAGTGCATTATTTATTTATTTGGGATATTTTTAACCCATCCAATCACATGCGTCTCTGGACAGCTTACAAATAAAATTCAATAAATACAACAGTATTAAAGATCGTATAATACCCCAAACAATTAGAAGGTTGCTATTCTTGGAGGTGAAAGCATGTTTTCTCTGTGGGAAGAAAAACTAGAAGAATACTTCTGGCAGACAAACAGCAGAATAGGAAAGTATAAGGCAAATTCTTGTGATTTCCTCTGTTTCACACACTGACAGTCTTCCAAGGGAGTTTGCACTATTTATGAAGAGCAGGTTTGGTCCCAACTCTGTTTAGTCCTGATCTCACTGGCAGACTAGGCTGCACAACTGCATGCATATAGACTTGCCACCTAAGCTAGCAAAATAAGTAGCAGATTTGTGATCCCATTATAATCCCAGGTAACCTTATATTAGATGCAGGCTACTTACTTTAAGTTTGAGGAAGTTTCTCTATAATTATGAAAATAGTGTGGGGGGGCGCTTTTATTCTCCTATGTACATATTGTTGCTTTAAATTCCTTAGCGATGAAGGAATTTCACTCTCTGGGTGCATTGTATCAATGTTATGTGATGTAAGTTATAAACAAAAAATGAGAGAGTTTGCTGCTAGTACTGTCACTGC